TCATGCTCTGCTTGGTTAACTTCTACACATGTTCAATTCGCTGGTCATCTACCTCTAGGCTGTCTAGTGACTAGGCTCACATTTCATCTACTCTGGGACAGCCCTTAATACCTTTGCTGACACCTTTTCCAGTACTGACAGGCCATCTACTTTTGAATTGTCCACCTTTACTTTTGAATTGACCACCTTTATGCCACATTTCACATTGACACAGGGTTGGTCTCCTCTCTATAGACTGTGGTACTTTGACATTTTCATCTTCTGTCCCCAATAGATCGCCTAGGACCTACTACTCAATGTGTCTCCTTAAAATTGTTTTTAAGTGTCATTATTTATTTCAAGGTTTCAAATATTTTACAAGTGCAAAAATTGCCTAAGATGGTTATTCTTTCTACCAAGTTCCCAAATGCATAGGCACATAATCTGTATGCCTCAGCAAGAAATGGTGTACGTAGCAGTTTGGTCCATTCAGCACCTGTTTCCTTATTGGTTTTGATTCTGCTTCCAACCCTGTTTTTCTTTCACATTGTGGGCTTTTTTTCACTTTCTTTTTAGTATCTGAAATGTATAAAGAAGAAATGCTCTATGGGGCATACTTTCTGACCTTGTGTGGGCATTGGTGCTCTAGATTGCTAAGATATATCTGGAAATGTAGACTTAATTACAGTGTGAAGGTATTTGTTAGGTAGAGGACCATTATTAAAAAGCATTTAAATTATAAGAATGGAGTACTTTTCAGAATTTCAAATTGGTTTTATACCTGGATTCTTGAGCAGGTGTGTATGGTGATATGCTTATTAAGAAAGCAATTGCTAATTTTCTCTAGTAAAACTGCAACTTGCTCAAAAGATTTTTTTTCCGCTACTAATGATAAGGGTATAAATTGTGTAAAAGCGATAATGATTGATTTGGCTACATGAGATATTTAGTAAAAGCTAAATTCTACAGTGTAGTAGCTATCTCCCATGCATTCAGGCCATCTCACAGGTAGGAATTACCTTATGCCAGTTTACCAGGATTGTTCGATCTCCACTCTCTAGCACTATTTCTCTTGTTCAGTTTTCACACATCTTATTTACAACATCCCTATTTAATATGCTTTCTCTTATGTACTTCAAAGTCCTGGACTGTCTTCAGACCATGGCCTGACACTTGTCCTATTGCCTGAACATGGTATACATATCCTTCATGTCTCCTATACTGTTTAGGTCTTCTCCAACTATTTGAAGAACAGCTACCATGTTTCAAGAAGTGAAGGACTTAAGAGAACTCTTTTTCTTGTTCTCTATGCAACTCTTTTACATATATACATATGTGTGTGTGTGCAAAATATATTTTTTATTTGTTATTTTAATTTTGCATGCATGAGTGTATTGCCTGCATGTGTATAAGTGCACTCATGTCATACAATGCCCCAGGAGGTCAGAAGAGGGTGTCGGATCCCTGAAACGAGTTAGGAAGGTTGCTAGCTGCCATGTGGGTGCTGGGAATCAAACCCAGGTCCTCTGTAAGAGCAGCTAGTGCTTTTAACCACTGAGGCATCTCTCCAGACCCTCTTTTATAGAATATTTAAGTTGTTCCTAATATGCTTTCTCTTACACAGTTCTTGGATTAATAAAGCCTTTCGTTTTTCCTGATCTTTCTCGGTTCCTAGACACCAATAATTACTTTCTCTTCCATAATGCTGATTGTCTATTCTTTGTTCTCTGATTCTTTGTCTATATTATTAACACTGATGAATTTGGACAGGCAGATCTATATTGTTTCTTTGGTTTTACATTAAAACCACAAGAAAACTGAGATCACATCTATTTAATTCCTTATATATTGCCCAGTTCAGCCCACCATTTAGCAGTCATAACTGCTTTCTGATAATAGGAAATAGTGGCTTGATAAAGAAGAATGGAAGATGCTGAACATTTCGGGAATTGTATTATACACATATGTAGTGATAGATATTGTGGAAGAAAAAACTTTGGGCTTTGGGTTTTCAAGCATTCCCTGTTTAAGGGAAAGCAGGTGATAAAATTAGTCTTGTAAAAAGATAGTGTTTTTTCAGATTTGTTTTTATACCTCTATCAAGTCTGGAAAAAGCATATTTAAAAATCAAGTATAATAAAATAGTATTTTAGTACATTAATCCAGAGAAAGTAAATTGTAGTAAATTAGGGCTCGTCATAGAAATTTCACAATGCCTAAGGGACTGAAATGCAGAGAATGTAGCAAAAGCCACACTCGTAGACATTTTTCTTATGCTAATCATTATCTATGAGATTTTAATAATAAAGGCTTACACAGAAATTGCTAGAGTGATGTCCATAATAAAATCTAAAAAAAACAAAAAAACAAAAAAACCAGCAAATAACAGGAACGGCAGAAGGTTTGTTAACTCATTATTGAGAAACAGTTGAAGGGAAATGAACTTAATGGGGAAAGGGAGAAGGTAGCTTTAGGTACTTGAAGTGCTCTTCAGAGGAAGAAAGACTTGTATTTCTCTTCATTATAACATCAAATTCTTTTTTTAATACAGTGAAATGAAAATTGCTTGAGGCAACGTGATAGTTTAATTTAAGCATAGGGGCTCCGGTTTTCAGGCTTATTTTGCTCTTTTTCTAGATTTTCCTAGAAACATTTCAGTATTACTAGTTATAAATAATTTCACATGAAATTGTGTCTAAATGTGGTATTTTTCTTATTTTTTAAAATTCTTGCCTATTTATATAGAGTAATGAGTTTCGTTGGCTCCTTTTCAACATGCATGTAGTAGACCTTGAGTATATCCATCCTCCCCTTCCCCTCCTTTAGCCTTCCCTCTCTCACCTTTAATAATCTTTTACTTTCATGTCATTTTTTTCCCAAATGTTATTTTAAACTACATTTTGTTTTATTCCCATATCATACTTAATTTCAGTTGTATGTTGTTTTCAAGACTACATCTTAGTACTATTTCTAAGCAAGGTATTTGTTTGGGGACGGGGGAATCTTTAAACATTTTTAAAGGAACATAGTGCTTTTTTACAAGCTAGGTGTTTTATGTTATTTCTGTGTATTTTTTTACACCATCACTTGGCTATGTAACTTTAGCTGTTTTGTTTTGTTCCAAAGAGTAGCGCCAGATTCACTTATTGAGCACATCAGGATGGAGGGGGAGAAGCATTATATTTTCCATGACATTTGTGAGGGGGTGTATATTGAGAATTGTTAATAGATATTCATGGAAGAAAGGGAAGGCATCCTCATAGATTTGGAAGTATACTTTGGCATGCTTATCATAGCACCACAGTGTCTTCTTAGCATATTAACAGTAAGGAGAGGCTACAGAAAATAGTTTAACTTATGTAACCAGGTTATTTTTTAAACATTTACTAGAGTGTTGTTATTTGTGTATGGACTACTGAGTTGCAATCCTTAAAACAAGTGTTCCAGGAACAGAGTTTGGGAAATATTGGATTAATTCGAAGATAGGTGATTAATATCTTTCTCAGAATTGTATTTTGCAAAAAAGAAACTCTGTCTCAGTACTTAATTTCATGTGTATCAGGCCACTTGATAGCTGGACTGTCCTGTGTTTTATTCATTTAGAAGTCTAAAGTGAGCATGGGGAGAATATGAAGAAAATATTTAGGAATGTATTTAACAAATATCTATGATGTTATTAAGGATTCAAGTAGTTTCTTTGGGAAATTTGCAAACATGCATTAAAAAGAGAAAAGAATAAATGGAACATTTTACTAGTTACTTTGTAATTCAGATACTTCAATATTAAATAATCCACTAAAGAGGAAATGTGTGAGTAAACAGGTGATTTAGGCCAACATTTGTAAATTAAGTATTTAAATGAATTTGATTCTTACAGTGGACTTGTCTTACATCAATATGGAGTTGTGAGCAGGGATGGTGGTATAATGTTTGTAATCTTGGAAACATGGAAGTAGAGGATCAGGAGTTCAAGGCTAGTTCCTAGCTACATAGCAAGTTAAAGGCGAGCCTAGTTTGTATGAGACCCTGTCTCAAAAGAATCCCCCCACCTCCCCAAACCAATATGGAGATTCTTATAAAGGACTGATTTAGCACCAATAGGCCAGATAACAAAATTACTAGTATTTTCATAGCAAACCCTCATAATAATCCAGGCTATTTTCTCTTCTTATTTGGTCAACATTTTTTTCCACTTAAAGGATAAAACATAATGTCTGTGTCGGTGGGTCAGCAGTACTGGCTCCACCTGGTGTCATTCTATTTCCCTTCCCCACTTTTTTTCCTGTCTTATCAGGCAATATTATGAATCTATGTATTGGCCCAGGTAACCTGATACCTCTGAAAAAAAAAGGGGGCAGGCTTCAAGAGAAATTTCCTTTGTTTCTCTTGCTTTTTTTTTAAACATTTTATGATGCTAGGGTTTGGCTCATCTCACTGGGGAAAGGAAGCTGGAGTTATGTTAAATGAATGCCTGTATGAAGATTGCATTGTAGAGTTAGGTTAAATGTATTGCCTGCATGTATGTGAGTGCATGACATGTGTGTGTCATGCAGTGCCTAAGGAGGTCAGAAGAGGGCATTGGACCCCCTGGAACTGGAGTTATGGATGGTTGTTAGCCGCCATATGGTTGCTGGGAATCCAACCCAGCTCCTCTGCAAGAACAACCAGTGCTCTTAAGCACTGAGCCATCTTTCCAGTCCCTTGCTAGTTTTTTATATCGGTTCCATACCTCAGACTTGACTCCCTGTTTGGCTGATGCTAGGGTTTGGTTCATCTCACTGGGGAAAGGAATCTGGAGTTATGTTAAATGAATGCCTGTGATTTTTTTTTTTTTTTTTTTTTTTTTTTAAGAAAAGGCATGTAAAGAATGTGTGCTGGGGAAACAACCAGTAATCTCCTTTAATACCAATTAAAACATGTTTGGAAAATTCTACAAAAGCTATACTAGATATTCTTAATGTCCAATATGATGTTTAGTTAGGTATTTTTACTTAGCAGATCTTTTTCTTGGGTATTTTTAGAGGACAAGAATTTTGGGCAGATTTGAATGCCATGACTGTATTTGAAACAACTGAATTTGACCAACTTCGAAGGCTGTCTACACCACCCTCTAGTAATACAAACTCTATTTACCATACATTTTGGAAATTCTTCTGCAGAGACCACTTTGGATGGAGAGAGTATCCAGAGGTATTTACATCTTCCTTTTCTGTTAAATACATTGAATTAAATCTTGCTGGTACAGGTAAAAGTCCATTTTTCTAAGTCTATTTCCATTAATCTGAAACCCATAAATAGAACACCAGTCTTCTCAGTGAATCTTCCAGTACTTACAGATTTGGTGCCATCTTTGTAGTCCTTTTAATGAAATTGAAAACTGGTTTAACTTTTTTCTGCATTTGCCTTCTGTGCTTATAGAAATTGAATCATGTGTCAGATTTCTCATTTAGAAGCCTAATGGAAACAGTCACCCTTAAGTAATCTAGTATCTACCTTCCAAACAGAATAAATGGCTGTTTAAAATTTGATTCTCAGAATACTTGAACTATCCTTATGTTTTTCTTCTCAGAGGTTTCTTAGGTTTAGAACTTGGTTGAGTGTTTTGGGTTTTTTTTTCTTTTTTTTTTAAACTTTGGGCATTATTACCTTTAATGCCCTTTCTGAAAATTCCCTTAACAAATGTAAACCAAGAAAATCTCTAGGATATCATTGATGTTGAAAATAGAACAGTCTCTGAACCTCACATGTTTCATAAGGCAGTTCTAGTCTCCATCTTTGGGAGGTTGGGAATCCTAAATAAAAGGATTAATTTGACTTACTGTATTGATTGAAATTCTGTTGATGTTATGAGTGAAGTAAGTTATTTTCAAAGCTTATAGTGATTATCTGTTTGTTTTACCTTCTATTTTCTCCTCCATAGTCTGTAATTCGATTAATTGAAGAAGCCAACTCTCGGGGTCTGAAAGAGGTTCGATTTATGATGTGGAACAACCACTATATCCTTCACAACTCATTCTTCAGGAGGGAAATAAAAAGAAGACCGCTATTCCGTTCCTGCTTTATACTGATTCCATATTTACAGTAAGTGACCAGTTATTTTTAACTCCTCATTTTTACGTGTCATTTGTGGAAAAGCACTGTTGGATTCCAAATTTAAGAGAACTGTCTTGGTTCATGCTATCAGAATGTGAAAGTGTACATTATTCTTTACAATTAATTCTTCAGTAAATTGAATTCAAGTAACTACAATTAATCCAGGCGTAAAAACGTATTAGATTTTTTTTTTTAACTGAAAAAAGGATAGAGTTAGCATTTAAACTAGAAGTAATTGTATTTGGAATGAATCACAATTTGTAATTGCTTCCTTTGTGGAAGATTGAGTTTTCCTTTCCATGGGGATCAACTTCTAAGATAAAACTCTTCCAAGTTGCAAGACTACTTCCCAGCCCAGATAAGCTGCCATGGGAATTGGGCAGAATTCTGTAAGTTGATGTTCCACATTCTTCCTTGACTCAATTTGAATATAATAATTTATAGTCTTATTTCCTTAAGTAAGGCATAACTTCTTGTGATATCTGTTGTATTTCCTAAGAATACAGTTTCTTAAAAAAGAATTGAGCTGAATTCAGCCTTCTGAATTGAAGGTGAGAGCTTTCATTTTCCCAAGTGTCACTTTTTCCTTCTCTCTCCAAGTAGCCTACTGGCATATCTCCATGGATTCTGAAAGATGAACTATGCTCCATTAGTAGAACTGTCTTTAAAATTTAGTTTGGGACCAGTAGGATGGCTCAGTGAGTGAAGGCTCTTGCCCAGCCTGAAGGTCTGAGTTCAATTCCTGGAACCCATGAATTGGAAGGAGAGAAGGTTGTTCTCAACCTAAACACATACACACACACACACACACACACACACACACACACACGTTTCTTTAGAGCAATCATATCTTCCAGCAAGATACAAAGATATATACTAGGGGGTATACTTGGTTTTTATGAATTAAATTAATTGATCTTTGAGGTGATGATGTTTACATAGTCCTACTATTTTTATTTCAAGTTGTTCTTTGCAAACTCTTAGTGAATCTAATCATGAAATTGTAAGGAAAACATTAAAAAGAAAAAATAGAAACTAGTTATGGTGGCACAGGCTTGTAATCCCAGTACTTAGGCGGTAGAGGCAGGAGGACCTTGAGTTTGAAATCAGCCAGGGCTGCATAGTAAATTACAAATCAACCTGGCTACCAAGGGAGACCCTGTCTTAAAATAGGCAAGCAAACAAAACTTTAAATATAAAGAATCCTTCAAATGATTAGAATTCAAAACAAACTCATGATTGAAATACATGTTCTTTCAAGTCCAAGTATGAAAATTTTTACCTTGTAGGGTTTTCTTTGTTGTTGCTTTATTTTAAATTAGAAGTAATAAAAATGCTATTTCTGGGATTTCACTAGCACGGCTAGAAGTAGTGTCTATATCCAATACTTAGGAACACACTGTTCTGATGGGACAGTAGAACTCATTCGTAAGACCAGTAGCTAAGCCAACAGAAGTAAGATGTGGCTCCCATCTTAGGGTAAGAATGTTCATTCAAATGCTCAATCATTGGGGATGTTTTTTGTTTGTTTTGGTTTTTTGTTTTTTTGAGACAGGGTCTCCCTTCCTATAGCTCCAGCTAGCCTGGAATTCACTCTGTAGACCAGGCTGGGCCTTGCTCTTAGAGAGATCCTTCTTCCTCTGCCTTCTGAGTGCTGAGATTAAAGGCTTGTGCCACCACACCCAGCACTGAATGTTTTAAATAAATGGTGAAAACAATTTGTTCAATCCTGAAAGAAGTAATTATGAGATACTCTTTTTTTAAAAAAAAAAAAAAAAACAAAAAACCTTAGGTTTTTTTAAAGTATAAAATATTAAAATATAAAAATATAAGCAGTGATATAATCAATGCCATAAATACAGCCTTATTAATGCACACTTACAAAGGAAGAAAAAAAATTATTGCTCCCTTTTTCCTTATAGAAATTTCCATTTGTCTTCCTGTCTGAAATAGTAATTAAGATAAAGGATTAAAATAAGGTGTCAGCAAAGCAAAGGGAATAGGCAGATACTTCAAAAGAAAAGCACAGAGGCACAGTAAGTTTACTAGGGTGAAATGGGTAAATACAGTAGTCCTGTTTGTTCCACATTCCCTCCTAGTGAGAGAAAGAGGGGGGCATTTGTTCCCAAAAGCAGATTTCAGAGGCCATGGTCTTAGAGATAAGATTTTGTTTTATGTTTTGCAATTAACTGTTATTAAATACAAGAATTAAAGGAAACTATAGCTAAGAAAGAGGCTACCAACTGTCAAAATCAGAGTTGTTAGAATTAGGATTATTAAGGTAGGTAGAAATGGGAAGACTGGCTTAATAATACTTCATATAGTTCTGGAAAATTCACTTGTCTTAAAAAGTTTATTTCCCTGCTGCTGATAAAAAAGGAACTTGTTCTTTAATAGTCTTAGAATACTTGAGCTGAGGTAGTATAAGGAACAAATCAGATTTAGGAGCTTGACTGTCCATTTCTTAGAGCTATAAGGACATCTTTTCCATGTAATCATCTCATCATGAGAATGCCTAGTGTAGTTTCTTTGACTCTTCCCCCAAAAGGATAAAATTAGACAGTTTTTACTTTATTATGAAGTTGGTTTAGAAAACATCTTTCAAATTGGGAGGGAAGGAGAATGACCTTGGAATCTGAAAGCCCATTCTTCTGAGACCCTTAAGTATAGTCTTTATACTTTAAATAGAGAAGGCTCATATAGCACTGTGAAGCATGCAATATATTATTGGGATTCCACAAGCTGAATACAAACTCAGCATTTTCATAAAATAAAGGTACATTTGTAATTTTGCTTGAAATACACATGCATGCAGACATTCTAACTGAACCAAGACACAGATACCTATCCATCCATCCATCCATCCATCTATCATCTACCTACCTACCTACCTACCTACCTACCTACCTACCTAGATGATTGATTGATAAACAAACAGATATGATGGACTTTATACTCTTAATTGCCATGTTTGGTACAGTTGGAATGTTGGCTTAGGAAAAGCATCTGTGTATGGGAATGGATGTTACCTGTATATAGAATCTTAACATCTTGACATCTGCATATTCGTGTTTATTGCTACATTATTCATGATAGCCAAGATAAGGTGGATAAAGAAATATTGTGTGTGTGTGTATGTTTGTGTGTGTTTTATTCACCTGCAAAGAAGGAAATATGTCATTTGAAATGAAATGGATGGACCTAGAGCTCATCATGTTAAAGGAAACAAGTCAGACTCAGAAAGACAGTTATTGCATGTTTTCTCTCAGAACAGAATCCAACAATGTATGTGTAAGACATGAAAATGGAGCAGAGAATATTTGGCAGGATGATGGGGGACAATAAAGGGTAAAGCAATGAACCATGAGCAAAATGCAGCAATATACATGTGTATTAGTTACTTTTCTCATTGCTCTGACAACTTAAGGAAGGGTTTATTATGACTCATAGTTGGAGGATACAGTCCATCATGGCAGAGAAGTTATGACAGCAGAAATGCAAAGTGGCAGGTCACATTGCATCTGCAGTCAAAAAGCAGAGCGAGATGAATATGAATGTCTTTTCCTTTGGGATTCCAGTGAATTGGAGAGGTCTTCTCGCCTCAGTCAAACTTCGCTGGAAATGCCCTCACAGACAGGCAGAGAGGTTTGTTTGCTGGGTAATTCTAAATCTTGCAAGAATACCATCACAGCTTGCATGAACATGTCATAATGAAAACCATTATTTAAGTTGCCAACTATAAATAATATATTTCTCAGGCAGAATATTTGGCAAAAGCAAGGATAAAGGAAGGGGCTAAATGTGAAGTTTCCTTGTTGTGTCTTCAGAACAGTGATGGTTTTTAAGGAGTTCCAAACCTTTGAGAAATTGATTAAAGCAGTGGGGCTTTTCTTTAGAAAAGTGAAAATATAACCATTGTAATAGAAAAATATACCTGTATCGAGTCTCGAGGAATCTATCTGGTCTCTAAGGAGTAATTCAAAAGACAAGAACCGTGCAAGACACAAAATTGTAAAGGTTGGAGAAACTACTTTAACTCTATCCCTGACCTCAGACAGCTGGGGGTGGGGGGGATTTGCTAAACCTCTGGATCTACTTAGAACTCTGTCTTATAAAGGGGTTTTAGGACACATTGAATTGAAGGCACAGAATACTTGAAGCAGGCAAGGATTAGAGAAGGCAGTTGTGCCTCTGAAGCTTTTAGCTTTCTAATAAGCTTTCAGAAGAATGATGGTGATGTAGTAGGAGGACAGGAATGCCAGTAATAGAGCTGTAGCATCAGGCAGACCAGAGTTGGAATCTTAGTATTAGAGCTATCACTACTAGCCTTAAAAAGTATAAATTGTGAAACATATGAAAAGAAACTATATCTGTAGGCCTGAATTAAAAAATGCTTCTGCTCTTGGCCAGCTAGGTTAGGGCAAATTATTTAACCTCTCTGAACCTGTTTGCTTATGTGAAAAGTGAGAATGATCAAGCCAAACTTGGATAACTTGGAAAGTTCTTGTGATAGTGACGTGTATAAAATACTTGGCTTATTGTATGTGGTTAGTCTTAGGTGACTAATGAGGATGATGGTAGGATATGCTCTATGGAAACATGATGCATATTTATGTACAACTTTAACCTCTGTGTCCCAAAGCTCTTTTGAAAATTTCAACTTCCTAATCCATTTTGGCAGACACTATTCCTTCCTTGTGACCACCGTGTAGCGATGCGTATTACAGTAGCCCAGCATTGAAATTAGGTCTTGGGGTTAGGATTTCCTTATGCTTTGCTTCTTCTCTCTCTCTCTTTTTTCTTTATTCTTTTTTTTTTTTTAAATAACCAATAAATATGCTTTAGATTTATTAGTTAAGCAGGAATAAGTAACAGCCTACTGTTTATCTAAATTCATCTTTGAAAGTAACAAAGCTGAATTTAAAGATTCAATGAATTGTACTCATTCTGGCATCTAGAGTTTGTAGTATTAGCTCTTTCTTCGTGTGTAGGGGTGCAGAGAGGTTTGCTGGAGATTGAACCCACGGTGTTAAGCATCCTAGATAGTCAGTTAATTACTGAGCCCTACCCTTAGCTCTCTAGTTTCAGCTTAATTATGTCTGAAGCTGTAAAATTGAAATAGAATTTGTTGATTGTTTTATTTGTGGTATGGGAAGTAAATGAAAGTCAAATGTATGTCAGCTTTCGGTACCTTCTCCTCTTCTCCTGATGTTTCCTTTTATACAGAAACAAAAGTAAGCTTTAAATTTTTCCCCTTAAGTTTCATTGCCTGCCCTGATTTGTTTTCCGTCTTACACAGCCTATAGTGCAGTAATTTTCAGCTTAGTATCAGCAGAGTTTGAAAGAAGCATGTAAATAATCATTGCTCCCTTGAAACAAAATTTCTTTAGCTATATATGCAAAAGAAGACTCTAGGAAGACTCAAAAGTTAAAGATATTATGAATTGCTTTTTGCTGTTTGCTTTGCAGCAGTACATTCCAGAGTTTTCTCTACAGGGAGAAGACTAGAAGGAAGCTAATAGTCAGTTATCTGCATTTGCTCTAAGCTTTCTTTTGGTGGTTTGGTTTTTTCACACAAGGTCTCATTAGGTTGGCCAGGCTGGCTTTGAGCTTGTGGCCCTCTTGCCTTCATCCTGCGCTGGTTTTATAGGTAAGTACCACATACTCAGGTTTTGTTTTCTTCAATGAATTTTTTTAAATAAGCATTCAAGTTATACAAATTATAACATTTTGGACAGTGCCATAAAGTATTATATAATGTGAGATGTACTTATTTCTGACTGTTTTATATTACTGTTCCTTCTGTACTTTAGGACACTTGGTGGGGTTCCCACTCAGGCTTCTCTGCCTCTTGAAGCAACGTCATCACAAATCATCTGCCCAGATGGGGTCACCTCAGCAAACTTTTACCCTGAAACTTGGGTTTATATGCATCCATCTCAGGACTTCATCCAAGTGCCTGTTTCTGCAGAGGATAAAAGTTACCGAATCATTTATAACCTTTTTCATAAGACTGTGCCTGAATTTAAATACCGAATTTTACAAATATTGAGAGTCCAAAACCAATTTCTTTGGGAGAAATATAAAAGGTGAGTCAGAGGTGTGAAAAATTTGAGACCTTTTCTTAGTAATATAGAACATAATAAACACTCGCATAGAATTTAATATGTTCACATTTTTCCACATATTAACTTATTTGCAGTCTTAACAGATCTATAAATGAGTTTATTACAATTTATATTCTACAGAGAAGAAACTGAGTCATAGAAAAGCTTGGTTACTTGATGTAAGTTATTTATGCATCTAATTAGATAGGCTCCTAAAATTTGAGCCTAGGCTGTCTAGCACCACCCTTGTTCTTAATCTTTCTACTTTGTTCCTCAAGACAACAAAATAGTAAATGTAAAAAGGAAAACAATTAGATTTGAAGAATCTCAAGGTTAAAGAAAAGCTAGAGAAATTAGGTAAGAAAAGAATCCTGAAGAAGAAAACTGAGAATTGGTTAGAGAAAGCAAGTGAAAAGTGATGGGGATAAAATGAAAAGAGCTTTTCAGGAACAGAAAAGATAAGTTTAAACTTTAGTATGATTTTGAAGGCCTTTCGCCTTTATAGCTACTTTAATATTTCCTTACCCTTGAAACCATAAAGGTTGACTGCATCATGCTAATTATAAATATAGATAAAGATCTATATTTCCTCCTTCTGAATGCCTATCTACTTTTTGCATTAGGAAAAAAGAATATATGAACAGAAAAATGTTTGGCCGTGACAGAATAATAAATGAGAGACACTTATTTCATGGAACATCCCAGGATGTGGTAGACGGAATCTGCAAGCACAACTTTGACCCTCGTGTCTGTGGAAAGCATGCTACAATGTTTGGACAAGGCAGTTATTTTGCAAAGAAGGCAAGCTACTCTCATAACTTTTCTAAGAAGTCCTCAAAAGGAGTCCATTTCATGTTTTTGGCCAAAGTGTTGACTGGCAGATACACAATGGGCAGTCATGGCATGAGAAGACCCCCACCAGTAAATCCTGGCAGTGTCACCAGTGACTTGTATGACTCTTGTGTGGATAATTTCTTTGAGCCTCAGATTTTTGTCATTTTTAATGATGACCAGAGTTACCCTTATTTTGTTATCCAGTATGAAGAAGTCAGTAATACTGTTTCCATTTAAATATCTTGGTACTGCTAAGTTATTTGATATGAACTCAATCCAGCATTTGTAGCAGGTTTGGGTGGGCCTGGGTGGGAAACAGCATTGAACAGAAATAGGACACTTTTCAGACCCAATTTTTTAAGTGCTAGAAAGTAATTTTTTTAAAAGAAAAGTTTTAAAACGACCACTTATTCTTTAATTATTATACTAATTGTTAGTGTACTCAGTGTGGAAAAAGACTAAAGAGTGCGTATTTTTCATTCACACGTGTACATTTAGGCAGCAATATTATTAGAAGCATTTGAGGGGAAAACTACCAACTGAAGAGCCTAATAAAGTACTACTTGGGTCTGGTAGACATTTGGTCAGATAGAGTAGAGGCTGTGAGCAAAGTGAGGATTCTGTTCACTTGGCATTGGTAAAACTGACTGAAACTGATAGTACCCTGCTTACCACTTACAGCATCACTACTTTGGGGTAGTATAAGGTCATGAAGTTCTGGTGAATGAGAAGAATTTTCTATTTCTATCAGTAGGACTGAAATACCCAGTCAGAGACCACGAGAGTTTTCTTGAAATTTCAGGGTTCTGTTGAGAGGAAATTTTTAAAAATTAAAAAAGAAACTATTTGAAAACTTTGTGCCACCAGCACAATTTTTCATTAATTAGTTGTGAAATGTGATTCTTGTGTTAAAATTTAGCCTTGGAAAACTCATTCTCTTCCATTATTGTCCACCTTAGTTTCAGAGTTGGGCAGCTAGGTTGGTTAAAGCTAGTTTGGTGAATTAAAAGTATTTCTTTTGGGGTTCCAGACCTACCCTAGACTGATGATAATAGATAGTGGAAGACATCTACAATCAAAGTAAAAAGTTTGATTACTGTGCTTTGCACAAAATAGAGTCTCAGAAGTATTTGCCGAGTTGAATTGTTAAAAGGTGGTAAGCCCACCCTGCTTTGCCAGATGCACTGGATTCCTTAGCTGACTTTGTACTTTACACTACTTACTTTAATAGAAACACAAACTTGGAAATTGTGCCACTGGCCCAGCAGGAGCATTGAGTGAATATGCTGTTACCTCAGCTCAGAGAGGCAGTACACTTCTAAGCAAAGCAAATACCTGGATTTACTAAAGTGAGAAGTGGTTGTTCATGAAAGAATGCACCACAGAATCCCTTCAGATACCAAGCTTTCCTTGTATGTTTGTGGTTATTTCATTTACCTAAAACTTTGCAGGACCTTCTTTGTTATTTAAAGCAAGATATAGCTGTACAGATGTCTCAGTGAATCAGTCTGTTTAAGCACTTATCAGGGCTTCCACACAGTTATTTATTTTGCCCTAGTTGATCCTGTTGTTTGCTGTCATGGGTATGAAACAGGCAACTGTGGCAGTTATTCTTCATTCGGTTATAACTTGTGAACCAGTGATCCCCAATCTTTTTCAAGTTAAGACATGTTACCATTGCTTATTTGATTTTATGAAACTTGTTCCTTTTTTCTCCTTAAAGGAAATGAAAGCTTTATGACATATTTATTTTTTTAATAAAACTAAGCAAAAAATAAAAGTTAATTCTTTAAAACTTCTGTTTTGTTCTGTTTCATTAAAAGTAACAAATCAGCACATAGTTGGTCTGTAAATGTTGGCTAGCTGGTTACTTGGTTGATTGTGTGGTTAGTGGGTTTAATAATTGTATGATTGAATGACTGAATGGACCTGTTCAGGATATACTGCTCACTCCCATAGATGCTATGGGAATCTAAGAAAGTATATCTTAACAGTTGAGTGTCAGTCACAAAAGAAGAATGAATATTTTATCTGCAGGTATGTTTTCCGGGGGCAAGGGACAAATTTTATTTTGGCACATAGCAATAGAGAAAAACATGAGGAGACATAGTCTCCTTCAGTTGTGTGGAAGAACTATAAAAAGGAATTGTTGGCACTGGGTACATTAAGATTGCAACCTAATGAAGGTTATCTGACCTAGTATATGTGAGTACCTCTGACCCTTCCCCATTAAGAATGACTTTAAAATCCCTAAACAGGTACTGTATATTGTGTTGAATGAGCAGTAACTGCAGAGTCAGTCTAAATTTTGTAATGGCCCTGTGGGTTTAAAACATTGGAAGACATTTTAGTAGCTTGCTTTCTTCCAGCACAACTATAATTTATACCATTTTATTTAGACTACATTTGAGATGTCTAGAGAACAAGAGCTTATACAAGCTCCTTGAGATCTTCCAGTATTATATACTCCTGTACTCAGGAATGGTTTGGGGTTTTTGTTTGTTTGTTTGTTCGTTTTAACGTGTACAAAGTATATTGAATCTTAAAATTCTAAATCCAAAAATGAGCTGTCCTGTGGTTTAAACAGGCTGGCCTCCCAACTCTAGATCCTCCTGCCTCTGCCTCCCTTGATAACTTAAGCTCTTCAAATCTTGGGCAAGTCACAGCCTTTTGCATAGTTTCCTTGTCTTTCCTTGGCTTTGTTTTATTTTGTTTTGTTTTGTTTTTATTGTATTTTTAAGACAGGGTCGCACTTTGTAGGCCAGGCAGTCTTGGAGCATACTCTGTACCCCACACTAGCTTTGAACCCATAGTGATCCTCCTACCTCCCAAGTATGGAGATTATAAGCATAAGCTGCCATACCTGGCTAAAATAGGTGTTTTGGGTTTTTTTGTTTGGTTGTTTTCTTCTGCAGTACTACGTGGATTTAATGCAGGGCCCTCCATATGGTGAGCAAGCACTGTACCAGTGATCTACATCCTAAGCCTCTTTCTTACTTTTTGAGACTAGTTCTCACTAGTTTCCCAGATTGGCCTTGAAATTTTGAATCCTCTCATCTCAGACCCATAGTAGGTAGGACTAGACTGGCTCAACTGAAATAAATTTTTGGAAAAAGTAAATGATAGGACGATTCTAATTTTGGACTTTACAATTTTTAAAAAATTCTATATAAACAGTTGATAGTATGTGCTTATAAACAAAAGCTGAATAGTTACATTTTTCTCAGCAGTGAGTTTTAAAAAGATTTGTTAAGCTTACTGATTTCCGTACTCTTACCGTAGCCAAGTTAAAGAAGCAGAGTGAAGACCCAATAGCTTTAGGCTGCTCTTCATGTTATATTGATTATTAGATTCTCAAGTGCAGTTAGTCATGTCAGGAAATACTCTGCAATATTTAGAATGATTGGTTCTTTTAAAAATTAGCAAAATGAAACATCCATTTATATAAAGGCTAAAAAGAAGTGTGGCCACCTGACAGTTCTGTATAGGAGTTTACACTCCCAAAAGATACTCAAGGAATAGGTTAAGCCATAAAAATCACAAGCAATGCAAATGAACCCTTTTAATGATAGGCTATGAGTAACCTTAAGACTGCAAGTAACTATTAGCAAGCAAAACTGTAGAAAGCTAGTATTGTTATATCTCACTCTGAGTTGGTTGGTTCTCCATATGCTGTTAGAGTAAAATTAGGCTGGGAACCACTGGACTAGACTTTCTATCTTCATGTTTGTTTGTTTTTGTTGAGCCAGGGTTGCACTGTAGCCCAGACTGGTCTCCAGCTTACTGAGACCACCTACCTATCTGTGTCTCCACACCCAGCCCCTATTTTCCAGTATAAATAACTTTTTATAACTAGCTATGTCTTCCTTAACTATGTCTAATCTTAAAGTCACCTTAAGTTAGTTAGCTAACAGGCTCAACCAAGGAAGTGTTCAAGAGTCTCTAAAACTTTCCTGATGGCTTTGCAAGGCTTGGATTCCAAAATGTCATTTGGTGGGTCTTGTGCTAGACACATCAGAACTGCACCTTGAACTGTTTCCCAGTCCATTAAGTACTGCATTTAAGGGTTGAGCTGCAAGAGTACCCTAAACAGGTGCCACTTGGCTACATGATAATACTGTGTCTTCAATATAAATCCTTGTACAGTCATCACTTTATAATTTTTTTGGAGAAGCAGTGATGGACTTTGGTCCTTATCCATAGATTTCCCTGACAAAGTCCCACTTAGAGGTTGTGTATTTTATAGTTTTTGTTGTTGTAGTGTTGTGGATCAAACAACCAGGGCCATGTGCATGTGACGCATATGCTATACTACTGAGCTTCTTCCCTGGCCCCACATTTTAATAGTATTTTGTTCAAGGATTTTAGTCATACTTTCTAAACTGGTTACAGTTAGTTTATATTTAGGAATAGCAATTTAATCTAATTAGCATTGTTCTCAATAATTTAAGCTGAGTGAATCATATATACACACACTTTGTATTTAGCTTTGTATTTTACCACTTATAAAAGTTGGATCCAGGGCTGGAGAGATGGCTCAGTGGTTAAGAACACTGACTGTTCTTGCAGAAGACCCGGGTTCGAATCCCAGCACCCACATGGCAGCTAACAACTGTCCGTAACTCCAGTTCCAGGGGATCCGACAGTCTCTTCTGTCCACACACATAAAAAAAATAAAAATAAATAATATATATTTTAAAAAAAAAGTTGGATCCATTCTAAAAACAAATTTATACCCATATGTGTAGATTTATCACTACTTTTTTGTCGGTTTTATTTTAGTGGGTTGTTTTCTCCTGTAGCAATCTCAAAGAGATCTGCCTGCCTCTGCCTCCCAAGTGCTGGTATTAAAAGTGTGTGCCACCATATCCAGCTATAACTACATTTTTCTAGAGCTACAACTTCTGCACTCTTAATATAATTAACTTGTAGATGTATGCAAGTTGTGCTAGATGAGTGGGAATGCAGACTTTGTGAATCATAGGTTACCCAATTTTGTGATAAATTACTATCCTTTGTCAGCAGCAGCTTAGTCACAACCTGTCCAAGAAAGTTTTTTACACAATATTAGTAACTGACTTGTGAATAAATTAAGATAATGTAAAGCAGTTAGGACAGTGTGTAGCTTATTGTATATAGTCAGAGTTTATCCCTGGTAGTAGTAACAGTAATAGCAACTGCAGGAATAGTAGGGTAGTGAATTGAATAGAGCTCCCAAAATGTCCAAATCCTATTCCCAGGAACCTGCCAATATACGGCAAAAAGGGACTTTACACAATTGATTAAGGATCTTAAGATGGGGAAATGTCAGTACCTAGGAGTTAGTAGTATCTAAATGAAACATTTAGCTCAACATCCAGGAGACCTCATCTGGCAAGAGCTTTGTGTACTGTCATACAGTAGGAAGAGCAGACAGGCAGGTGACAGGTGCAAGGACAAGAGGGAGACCAACTGCCACAACCAGCCCATTCCTGGGAGTAAAACAATCCTTTCATGAGGGCTCTGTCCCCATGACCCAAACACCTCATACCACTTTGAGGACTGTACTTCAACATGAGTTCGGCTATGAATAAACCATACTGAACTTACAGCAGGGGATCATGCATATATGCCCACTGTGCTTTTAAGAAGGCAAAGGTCAGAGAAAAAGTCAGAAGGCGCTGTGGTGCCTGCTTCAAAGATGGAGGTTGAAGTCATTCGCCAAGGAATACAGCTGGCCTCTAGAAACCAGAAAAGATAGACTTCTCTCTAGAGCTTTGAAGGAAGACAGCTGTGCTGATGTCCTGATGTTAAAACTTACCTCCAGAACTGAACTGTAAGATAATACATTAGTAGTAGCTTATATAACTAAGATAATTTATAAAAGTAGCAATGAGAGCTGGGCATGGTGGCACACACCTTTAATCCCAGCACTCAGGAGGCAGAGGCAGGCAGATCTCTGTGAGTTCAAGGCCAGCCTGGTCTACATAGTTCCAGTACAGCTGGGGCTACAGGGAGACCCTGTCTCAAAAAGAAAAAAAAAAAACGAGAAGCTAGTACAATTAATAATAATCATTGGAAAACTTCAAATATAAATAATTTAAAAGTACCACAAATGTGAAAATTTCCCAACACTTGTTGAAAACGTTAAAAGCTGTGTGAAATTCTAAGATGACCAGTAGCAGTTGAATCTGGAGTTTATATTTTGCTGCCACCCATACTGTATATATACCACTTTTATTCAGTCTAGAAAATGGAGCCCAAAAGTTAGTTGATTTGTGTTTGATTATGTCCAGGTGCTTACTCTTTCCAGTTTTTGCTTCTAGCTCCTGTTACAGGGTGTCACTAATTATAGGAAAATTTTATTTCTAAAGTCTTGACTTTTTCTTCCTGTATGTCCTGTATTAGACCACATCTGCTGAAAGGTGAAGGCCTTTAAGAAAGCTGTGCCTTTGTGGTGGTGTTATCTGTGGAGCATGCCACATGCTTATTTCTTCTACTGGGTGGGCAGATATGGATCAAAGACTAATATGAACAGGCTCCTACCTCCATGCAGACACACCCTCTGGTCTAAGGGCAATCCTATCCCTGCAGTTCAGGTTCAACAGAAACCACCTATCAGGATGCAGAATGCAGGAACAACCAACTGGCTCTAAGAGTTACTGGTCAAGTTTTCTGACTTTAAAGTTCTCTCTCACAGAATGGCTTAAGTCCTGAAGGAGTCAACAGGCAAGAATCACTAAGGATTCCATCCCCTACTTTTCAAGAATTAAAATACGGATAGTGCTAAGGTTTTCCAGATCCAGGAAATAGCAG